CTCTTAGGTGAGCAGACTTAGTCAGCCTGTGTTGCCCTAACAGGCAACCACTACGAGCATTTCTTGTTCTTCCTGTAAGCAAGTCATGTTGTTGGACAGGGGAGGAGGTGAAGCAGTCGTAGTGGGCAGAGGGGTTGGGGCAAATGATTCAACAGGCACAAGCTCAGCTTTGTTGTATGCAGGACTGGCCTTGAATGATCCTAGTTCAACATCTGCAGCCTTGTAGATGTCCAGATTGTCAGCTTGCTGAGGATCTTGAGGTACAGCAGATGCAGCAGACATGTCTGTTGCATGGTTGATGACATTCCTGGCTTTGGAATGAGAGTGCATTCCAACCTTCATCCAGAGTCTGCTATTGGGTTGTGCTTTAGTCTTGCAAGCATGACACAAGCAGTGCTCTGTGCCCTTCATTGTGGACAATGCCTTGGATTTGCTCTTTGAACCAGTACTGAGTGACCTTAATTGTACCATGCTAAGAGTTTGCATCAGCTGTTGGTGTATAGCTTCTCTTTGAGTACATTGGTGCACCTGAGAATTCAAACCGGTGATTGTCTCCCTGACTCCCAACTCCTGATAATCCACCAACCGTTCTTGTTGTCAGATACAGCTGGTGAAGTCATATGGAGAAGTTGAGCAAGACACTCAGGTTGGGTGCCCTGAAAATTGGACTTTGTCATCGCAGCCATCCAGGACATTATCTGTGCACACCAGGGTCTGCCACACGCCCAGCTTATGAAGTCGACAACAAGAATGATGTGATTGCCAGGATGAGAACCAAGCTGGTTTTTGCGCAAGAGGGTATCAGTGGACATTGGGCTGCACTGGAGGGTGGAGTAGGGTACTCAATTGCAATGGCTGGCCTACTCTGGACAAGCTGAGCTTGACAAGATCCACCTATGTTATGAAGGAATGTGATATGTTTTGAAAGATAGTATATACAGCCATCAAAGACCTACAACAAAGTTCCTATCTAAGGAACTGTTCCTTCCTCTCTGTCTTATCCATTGCCCATCAAGGGCATTGGGTGTAGCAGGCGGTGGTAGACATGTCAAGCAGGGTGAGGGTTGGGAGGAAGGTGTGAGACATTGGGTGTACTGGAAGGTTGGTCAAATGGGGAGCAGTGGAGTGTACACTATTGTTGCAAAGCTCATAGAAGAGCATGGTGGTCAGGCTGGACTGGTGAGGTAGGCAGAGTGCATGAAGGGGAGCTTGGGGATATTGATGACGAAGCACTTGCAAGACTTGGCACACTTGTGTTCCAAGCACTGCTGGCAGTATCACTCTTCCTCAGCATCTTCCTCCCTGGCAGCTTGCTCAAGGTCACAGACATGAGCGTCAATGTCCAGGTGAGGGAAGGTGACAGTGTAGGGATGACTGGCTTTAGTCTTCCCCATGTGAGTCACCATGATTGTAGGGACTACACCAGACTGGGAATAGGTGGTGATAGGGTAGGAGGTGTCAGTTGGGTAGGAGTTGGTAGGGTAAGAGGAGTTGGTAGGGTAGGAGGTGTTGGAATGGTAGGAGATGTTGGTAGGGTAGGAGGTGTTGGAATGGTAGGAGGTGTTGGCAGCAGGGAGGTTTTCAAAGATTGTAGACTGGAAGCAGAGGATCCTGCCTCAGGTACTGGGCAGCAGGGCATCCGTGCTTTGCACATTGGCAGGTTTAGTGTAGGTCATGGCAACTTCATTGGATATAGGGTTGACCTTGCTGTCCATGTCCTTGGGCTCGATGGCATTGCTGTTGGTGAGTGTGGCATCATCAACACTATCACAGTGTTAGGGCAACACAGGCTGACTAAGTCTGCTCACCTAAGAGTGCCAAGAGTCTAAGCAGGCAACAAGGAAGTGGAGTAGACCTGATGACTAAGACCTATCCACAGTATAGGTACCTGTGGATGATCCTAAGAGACCAAGTCTGAAGAGACAGTCCCCAGGCAGAGTAGGCCTTATATTTATACCTCTGTGGTGGAACCTGCTAGAACATCTTGCTTACTCAGCCTAGTCAGGTGATCAGGTCATATGACCAAGGAT